AAAGGCGAGATCTACTTCACGCGCGTGGGGCTTGTGGAGTGGTCCTCGGAAGGTTGGGAGAGGCCCCCAAGGCCTACTTAGCCCCTTCACTCGCCTTAACGGGCGTGCGCAGACTAACTGGGAGCGCGTCTCTGAGCACGTGCAGAGCGCGTTTCCTCTCTCCCCACCTCCAGCCCGTTGTCTCGGCGCTTTCAACTCACCCCAGGAGGCGGGGGCGGGGAGGTTAATCCGGTGCCCATCCGGTGGGTGCTGTCCAGGGTGCTGGTTCTCCCGGCCTCCTGCCGCAGGCAAGGGAGTCTCGTCTGACCGGAATGCAAGAAAGTGGGGTTTGGATAAAAGACTTAGGGGTTGATTCTAGGATCCATGCTTTCCCCCTTCCTTTTGCAAATATTTTCGCTACTTTACTGAAAGTTGAGGATTCATAGAGCCTTTCCTGAGTGTGGGAATTCTCCTTTTGCAAACGGGTGGAACAGGATAGGGTGAATAAAATGCTCATTCACAGCAGGAAAAAGGGTGTCCCCCTCGCCCCCAAATCCTATCATCTTTCTGATCCTCATAACCCCAGTGGCACCTGGGCCCAGAAGAGGGTGGGCATGCTGTGGTTACAAAGTAAAAAGAAAAAAGAAAGCACCCTCTGTGCATGCTCCAAGACGCTCTTGCTCCCCTGTAATTGTTATAGCATGGAGGCCTGCTACTGAAAACAGGTTCAGAGTCTGGGTGCAAGGAAAAATTTATCACACACACACCTATTTTGTTCCCCATTTCTAGGGATGCCTCCCTGGTTTCCCTGCCACTCCTCTCCACACCCCCAATCTATGGGGGTGAAGCAGGGGACAGTCCTGCTGTTATATAAACAGGAGATCGATCTGTGGCCACCAGCCATGGGAAAGGAGGTCATAGGGCTAGCCTCAGCTAGGGGCCTCTGGGCATTTGTGAGCAGCTGGGTGCAGGAGAATTGCCATTATCCCCCCCCCATGCCCCCATGTCCCCTCTCAGAGTTAACAGGGATGAGGCTCCTGGCGGAGCCATGCTTCAGGTTCGGATTATGGAAGCTATTCTGCGTGTTCTCAGAGGTACCCTTGTTCATTCAGTGTGAGTGCTGCATTTCTTTGAGCACTGCTTCAAACAAATCTATTCTGGGGGGCACAAGAGGATGAGGTGCATTCTGGGGGAGAGAGCGAAATCACCCACAGCCCCTCTGGAGTTTTGGGGTGCCTCTGCACTATACATTTAAATCAGCATCATGCAACTTTAAATAGTCATTCCTTTCCCCCAAAAAAATCCTGGGAAGTGTAGTTTGTTATGGGTGCTGAGGGTTTTTAGGGGACCCCTTATTCCCCTCCCCAAACTGCAAATCCCAGAGTGGTTTGACAGTCAATCCCTGTTCCCAGGGAACTCTGGGAATTGTAGTTCCGGGAGTGGGGGCTAATAGGGGTATTTCTAAAAGCAACTCAACATCCTTAGCAAACTATGGTTGCCAAGAGTCTTCGGGAGAAGCTGTGCCTGTTTAAAGTGGTCTTGGACTGCTTTAAATATGCATTGACTCCCTCCTTCCTCTCTGAGGTCACACCACATATCCAACATGCATTGAAAGCCTGTTTGGCTTCCCAGGATCTGTAGTTTGTTAAGGGCTCTGGGAATTGTAGCTCCTCAAGGCTGAAACTGCCGTCCCCAGAATTCTTTCGGGGAAAGCCATGCCAGTTTGAAGTGGTACGATACCACTTTAAAAGTGCCGTGCAGACAAGGGCCCTGTTTGTAGGCCTACATCTGGTTTGGGGCAAAAACTGAAATCCTGCAGTGAGAGCCCAGGCTGTGCTGGTGACCCCCCCTCCACTCAACCTGCCCCCACCTCTGTTTTCCTCTCCAGGAAGCGATCTGCCAATATGCGCCAGCTGCAGCCACAATATCTACGACGGCCAGTATCTGCAGGCCCTCAATGCGGACTGGCACACCGACTGCTTCAGGTAAGACTGCTCTGGTAGGGCGGCTGTCACCAGTAGGGTGGGAAGGGGGAGCCAGCATCCTCCCAGCTGCTTTTCTGAACTGCCATCTCCCATCAGGCCCTGCCAGGAGGGTCAAAGGTCAAGGACGATGGGAGTTGTAGTCCTGCAAGCTAAGGGAAGGACTATACCTCAGGAATGGAACACTTGCTTTGAGTGCAGAAGGTCCCAGGTTCAATCCCCAATGGTGAGAGATTTTCTTGTCTGAAATCCTCGAGATCTGCTGCCAGTCAGTGTAGACAGTACTGGGCTAGATGGGCCAGTGGTCTGACAGTTCGGTTTCAGAAAGCAGTGATGGGGGTTATTAGAGCAAGGAAAAGTTTCAAGATCTGGGGCTTTTTCCTTTAGAAAGTGGTAGTGTTGGATTAGGACCTGAGAGAGGCCAGGGTTCAAATCCCCACTAGGTCATGACTTTGGATCTGTCGCTGCCTCTTGGCTTACCCTACCTCACAGGGTTGTTGTAGGCAGGAGAACCTGGGAGGAAAAAAGGTGGGCTATAAATGCAATAAACAAATAAATGGTGTGCAAACTAGGCCAGAGCTACATCTTAAGAGAGGCAGTGTTGCAAAGTGGTTACATTATCGGACTAGGACACGGGAGACCTGGGTTCAAATCCCCACTCGGTCATGAAGTTCACTGGGTGACCTTGGAGGCCAGTCACTGCCTCTCAGCCTAACCAGCCTCACAGGGTGGTTGTGGGAATTAATTGAGGGGGGAGGGGAGAACCACGTCCACCACTCTGAGCTCCTTGGAGAAAAAGGAGAAATGCTAGGAAATTCAGGGCAGACATAAGAAAGTCCTTCTGAATGCAATGCATAGTTAAACGATGGAACTCACTGCCGCAGGAGTCAGTGGTGGCCACCGGCTTGGATGGTTTTAAAAGAGGACTGGACAGAGGGGCTGTTGATGGTTATTAGCTACAATGGCTATGGTCTGCCTCTGAATCATACTTCCTGGGGATCCCAAGTGGGGAGAGGGTTGCTCTGGTGCTCCGGTCCTGATCATGGGCTTCCTGGAAGAGGTGTCCGGTTGGCCACTGTGAGGACTGGACGCTGGACTAGAAATCGGCTTCTTTTCGACTGAGCCATCCCAGGACTCTTCCTATGTTCACTGTTGCTTATTTGGCCAGAAAGGAAGTGCCCCCACCCTTAGAATATTCTTTAGCACGGGTTGGTGTGAGCGACGAGATCCAGTGCTCTCCTTCCAAGGAGGCTCGCGGCCTGGCCCTGGGACAGCTTGAGCAGCTCCTTCTGCACCAAAGAATCGTGCAAACCTAGAATTGTAGGGTTGGAAGGGCATCTAGCCCAACTTCTGCAATGCAGGAATCACAGCTAAAGAGTCCCTGACTGATCGCCGTCCAGCCTCTTGAAAATCCTCCAGAGACGGAGAATCCACTGCTGTGGAAGGAGAATCCTCCACCGTGGAACAGATCCTATGGTCAGAAAGTTGTTCCTTGTCAGAATCTCCTTTCTTGCCATTTGAATCCTTTGGTCCGGGTCCAGCCCTCTGGAGCAGCAGAAAAGAAGCTGGCTCCATCTTCCCAGTGAGAGTCCTTCAGGTATTTGAAGATGGCTATCATATCACCTCTAAGTCTTTTCTTCTCCAGGCTAAATATAACCAATTCCCTCACCCATTCCTCAAAAGGCTTTGGGCCCTTGATATTCTCCATCACCCTCCTCTGCCCACCTTCCAGCTTGCCAATATCCTTCTTAAACTGCAGGGCCCTGAACTGCACGCTGCACTCCAGGTGGGGTCTGACCAAGGCAGATCTGGACACTAGACTTCTTCTGAAGATGCCTATCATAGAATTGTAGAGTTGGAAGGGACCCTGGCGAACATCAAGTTCCACAATGCAGGAATATGCAGCTGTCCCATACGGGGATCGAACCTGCAACCTTGGCATTATTAGCACCGTGCTCTAACCAACTGAGCTATCCTGCTCGCACCTCTCGGTCTTCTCTTCTCCAGGCTAAACATACCCTCTCCCCTCCAGCATATGTTCCAGGTGCCTGGTGGGGAGGGGGCGAAAGACGAGAGCCACCTTCCTCCGCTGATCATCTGTTTCCCCAACAGCTTGGCTGCTCCATTCATTCTTGGCTTTACAGTCCCCCCCCTCCTCCTTCTGGGCAGCCGTCAATATGGCTGGTGGCATCTGGCAAGCACAGAGACTTGGCTCTCCTTCCAAGAGACACACTCCTCACACGTCCAGCTCGGAGCTGATTCCCTGGGCCCCGACCCTGACTGCTTTGGGGTTGTGCGCTTTTAAAAGTCTGGCTGCCTCCCTCACCAAGCAGGGAATAAAATAGCTCTTCTCTCACACTCATACTGGAGTCTGCTTGGAAGAGTCTGGCTTGAGGACAAACGGGCGCGTCTGTGATCCATCTGAGGGCATGTATTTAAACTCCGGAACTTGCTCCTGCAGGATGCAGTGGGGAACACCAACCTGGATTCCTTTAAAAGACAAATTCATGGAAGAGAAGACTACTAACCATGATAGCTATGCTCTGCCTCTGGGCTCTTCTTATGTCCTGATGGAACCTCCAGGCCCAGTGGCAGTCTATCTCTATTTCCAAGTTCTTAAGGGCATTTAGCTATTGTGAGAACAGGGTGCTGTGCCAGATGTGTCTTTGACCTGATCCATCAGGCTCTTCTCACGTTCTTACAGCTCTTGCATGCTGGGGAGATGCCCAGGTGTCGGTGCTCCCCCCACCAGCTAGCGGGGCACGGAGGTGGGTGGAAATTGCATGTGTCCTCTGAGGTGGACAATGCACAGGCTGGCTCGATGATGCAAGAGGCGGTGCAGAGAGAGGCCTGCGCTCCGGCCTCCCAGCTGTGGCAAGAGCACATCTGCGCAGGGCTGTTGACAAAGATAGCTACGTGACTCCCAGGGGGGCGGCTGAGAGAGAGGCCCGATGCTGCGTGGAGGCGGCAGTCACAGAGGAAATTCCCCTCCTTGTGATTACAGAACAACTTCCTGCCCTGGGGCTGGGCTGGCTGGAGTCAGCTTCCGAGGCAGAAGAGCAGAGCAGAGCGGAGCAAATTGCAATGGCAGTGAGGAGCTACTCTTCGGGGTCAGAGCTGGCGAACTCGGGGGCTTATCTCGGGGGCCGGGCTCAGCCCCTGGCTGCCCAGGGCAGGCAGGGAAGGGTGTGCCTCTGCCCACGTTCGAGGCACCAGCAGTGGGCAGGTGCCAAGGAGGAGACCCCGTTGCTGGCTGCCGTGCTCAAGAGCAACCACTTTCTGACAGCAGGAGCCAAGTAAGTCTCCGCCGGAAATGATGAAATGCAGGATTTGAACTCAGAGTTGGCAGGAGATAAAAGCTGACTAGCTGGGCCAGGCGCTGGGTTGGGTTGGTTCAGTGCACTGCCTCCGGCTGTGGTCAGTTGGCGCCTCTGGAAAGCTTCCCAGTACAGTGGACGCTCGGGTTGCGAACATGATCCATGCGGGATGCACGTTCACAACCCGTAGCGTCCACAATGCTCAGTGACGCATCTGTGCACGCGGGGGTTGTGATTTGGTGCTTCTGCACATGCGCAAACTGCAATTTAGTGCTTCTGCGCATGCACGGCAGCCAAAAGCCAGAAGTAACCCGTTCCAGTACTTCCGGGTTTCGGTGGTCCGTAACCTGAAAAACCGCAACCTGAAGCGTCTGTAACCCGAGGTATGACTGTAGTGCTCCTGTTGTCATTTGGCTCTAAGCATCTGATATTGAAAGATACACTGCCTCTGAATGTGGAGGGTTTATTTAGCAGTCACAGGTGAGAACCGCTGACTAGGGTTGGGTGATATATTTATATATCCTCCAATTTGCAATCCTTGGCATAGAACAAGCGGAAATGTGGACAAGCCCAAAGAGGTGACATGGTAGAAGTTTATAAAATGACACCTGGCATGATGAAGGTGGCTCAGGTGGTTAGAACGTGGTGTTAAAAATGCCAAGGTTGTGGGTTTGATCCCCGTATGGGCCAGCTGCATATTCCTGCATTGCAGGGGTTTGGGCAGAGGCCCCTCAAGGTCCCTTCCAACTCTGCAGTTCTATGATTCCATGGTGAAAGTGGATAGAGAGAAGTTTTTCTCCCTCTCTCATAACACTAGAACTCGTGGACTTCCAATGAAGCTGCTGGATGATTTGGTACAGAGGAAAGAAAGTCCTTCTTCATGCTCTGCATAGTTAAACTGTGGAACTCCCTCCCACAGGAGGCAGTGATGGCCAACAACCTGGGCGGCTTTAAAAGAGAATTAGGCAAATTCATGGACGAGGAGAAGGCTCTTGAAGGCTACTAGCTATGGTAGCTATGCTCTGGCTCCACAGTCAGAGGCAATAATGCTTCTGAATACCAGTTTCTGGGAACTGCAGGAGGAAAGAAGGCTCTTGGGCTCAAGTCCTGCTTGCTGCTTGCTTCTCTCTGGAGCATCTGGTTGGCCACTGTGAGAACAGGATGCTGGAGTAGCTGGGCCATTGGCCTGATCCACCAGGCTTTTCTGATGTTCCTGTTGTTCTTCGTCTCTAGCATCTGGTGTCCAAAGATACACTTCCTCTGAGCATGGAGGTTTGATTTAGTTGGCCGGGTTCTCCGTGGTATTAAAACTGCCTTTTAAAGCAAGAATGGAGGATCCCTATTGGGCTTGTCTTTGCATTTGGTTTCTGATTCAGAAGCATCCCCACCTAAAGTTATAGGCAGCAATGCTTCTTTTGAATTGGTCAAGGGGGTGGGGCATGTCTGTTCGGCTCACTTGCACCTGGCATAAAGAGGTCCAGCAGGTTTCTGCGTGGTTTCCAAAACCTGCTGTACATGGTTTGACCCGAGGCAAAAGGAAGGTGGAACAAATTTGTGTTGCACTCTGGGGTGTGAAATCCCATTCTGTTTTCTTCAGACTGAGAACAAGGAGCTGCCAGCTCCTTGGTTGCCTCATAGAAGCTTCTCAGTGCCAGCAAACTGGAAGAGTTTTGCAGCTTCTGATTCTATTTCCAGATCAGCGGCTACCACTTGCCAGCACGTGCCAGCGAAGGTCACCTTTCATTGTCCTTGGTGGAGAAAGAAAGGCAAGCTTGGGCTCCTCTTGTCAACATCCTGTCTCGTATTATTAGGATCACTGGTCCTGGGCAAGGTGGAATTCTGAAGGAAACGGGAACAGGAGCAGAAAATGGACCGTGTCTGCTGATTTGTTCCTTGTGTGGGACAGAAATCAGTCCAGTGAATGCTATCCACATTCACTGTTGTGACTTTCAGTCTGCAAATGATATGTAATTGGTGGTGTTCCTCTCCCCTGTTTGCATCGGAATTCCTTTGCATCGAAACAAATAATGCTGATTAATTGATTGATTGATTGATTAACCTACTATATATTTTGGAAAGTAGTTTGTCTGTCTGTCTGTCTGTCTGCCTGCTCTCTATGTGTTTGGACATGTCTTGGGATAATGTTTCCCCAGTGCGGCATGATAGTGTTGGAGACAGAGGAGCACTTTTTCCATCTATGTTTGAATACCATCTGATGCCGTTTTGAATTGAGATACTGTTGTTGTAGTAGTAGTTGTAGTTGTAGTTGTAGTAGTAGTAGTAGTAGTGGTTGTTGTTGTTGACCTTTCTCCCCAAGGAGCTCAAGGTACCATGCATGATTCTTCCCCTCCTCATTCCAAAAGGAAGCCAAAACTCATTTTGGGTGGGTGTCCCACATTTAACCTCATTTAAACTTTAAACCTTTAAGAGGAAGTCCAGCTATCAGAGTCCATGGCTGGGGAGCAGACCCTTTTCCATTCACAGCACCTGGTTTTGACTGTGCTTTCTTTTAAATGCTGATTTTCCTTGGTAGGTTTTTGGAAATCCCATTGAAACCCCAAATGGCTCGGCCTGATGGGTTCTTTTCTGCATTAACCCCCAGGGCAGACTCTGAAAAGGGAAGTGACTAGGTTTGGTTCCTCTAGGTCAGGGTGGTCCACCTCTTCATACCAAGTGGGCCACAATAGTACTTTGACACAGAACCTGTGGGCCACACACAGCCTGGGAGGGGGAGTGAGGCCAAAATTTTAGCTAAGGACCAAAAGTGTTCAGGTATAATACCAGTCCATAATAAGAGATGGAGATCTGGGAAGAAGACTGGTCACTGTTGTCATAAAACTTATTCGACAAAAGGAAACCCAACAACTGAGAATGATGTTGTTACATAATTAGATACGTAACTGGTGATGTCAAATTCCAGAGAGTGAGATGAGTGTCTTGGTTTTTTGCCAGAAGCTGAGCTGCAGTCAAATGAAAATGGCATGTGTGATGTACAGAGTCTTCCATGTGACTCTTAATGGAGGGAGCATTAAAATTAGAGGCTTCCCTGCCCCCAGAAGCTTACAAATTAAATTGTGTTTGAGAGGGAAGCAGCAAGGCGGCAAGGCAGATAAGAAGGAAGGGGAGACAAGAGAGAACTTCGAATGGCTGCAGTTTCATGTTTTCAAGCTTCCATTTTGTTGTGGGCAGCAATGAAGGGGCCTGAACTGTAGGCCTCACAGGAAAGGTGTTGTTTGTTTGTTTGTTTGTTTGTTTGTTTGTTTGTTTGTTTGTTTTTAGGAACTGTTCAAGGAACTGAACATTACTTGCTTGGAACCAACCTCTATGAGCTCATGAGTGCTTGCAATCCACTGGATTCTCATGGCATGCACATAATTTATTTATTGCATTGACACCCACCACAACCCTGTGAGGTAGGTCAGGCTGAGAGGCCGGGACAGAGCCCAAGCTTCATGGCTGATGGGGGGATTTCAACCCTGGTCTTCTAGTTCCTAGCCTGACACTCTAGCCACTATGCCACACTGGGTCTCCACACAGCCTTTTGAGAAATTATTTTATCTTATTTTACATTGCGATTTGTGCTGAGCCACTGATAGCCCTCTCCTCCTCCTTGAATTTGTCCAGTCGTCTTTTAAAGCCATCCAAGTTGGTGGCCTTTGCCGCCTCCAGGGGGTTCCACAGCTGAGCACGATAGTCTTTGGTCTGTTCTGAATATTCCAAAAATTCAGCTTCCTTGGATGTCCACAAATTCTACAGTTTTGAGAGAGGAAGGCAACCTCTTCTCTGTCCACTTTCTCCATGCCGGGCATAATTTTATAAACTTCAGTCAGGTTGCCTCTTTTACTTGCATTTTCTCTAAACTTAAAAACTCCCAAATGCTGCAACCTATGTGCAAATTAGTGTGGTGTGGAGGGGGAGGAGCAGACAAGGAGGCCATCCACCAGCAAGGAAGTGTGAGTGGGCTTTGCATGGAAGTGAAAGCGATATCCAGCGGATGCTGGGTGCCAGATATCAGGCTACCACAGACCAGTTGCTTCTTATAGACTTTCAAGTGGCATCTGGTTGGTTGGTGCTTTTGCTCAGATCCCACAGGGCTGCCCTTATTCCCTGAGGTCATTAGGAATGGACCCACCATGTTCAGAGGAAGTCTATCACTGAGCACCACTTTCTTCAGGTAGGTGTGGTGGCTTTTGCTTTCATTATTTTTTAAAAAATAATAATATCTCAAACGACTTATATTCAAACGAATTCCAGATCAGTGCTTGGTAAACAGAACTCAGATACAGCAGGGTAGAGTCTCAGAACGTTCTACAAAGCGGAGGTTCAGTACTGTAGGGAAAAATAGGTCGCAACATTTGGGACTTTTTTTGGCAAGTAAGAGGCAACACGATAGGCAAAATTATGCCTGTCATGGAGAAAGTGGATGGAGGAAAGTTTTCCATCTTTCTCTAACGCTAGACATTCGATGAAGCTGAATGTTGGAAGATTCAGGACAGATAAAAGGAACTTCTTTATGCAGCGCAACGTTGAACTGTGGAACTCACTCCCACAAGAGGCAGAGATGGGACCAATTTGGGTGGCTTTGAAAGGGGATTTGGCAAGATCATTAAGGAGAGGAAGCCACAATGGCTATGCTCTGCCTCCACAGAGGCAGCAATGCCTATGAACTCTGAGGGGGAGGGCTCTTGTGCTTGGAGTCTGCTTGCTGAGTGACAGTCTGGCCACTGTGAGAGCAGGATACTGGATGTGCCATTGGCCTGATCCAGCAGGCTCTTCTGATGTTCAAAAATGGAGATCCAATGCAAAAAAAGCCAGAAACTCTAATCAACATACATTATCAAGTATAATCTCACAACAAAATACAAAGTATAGGTCAAATGCAGCACAAAAGAAAAAGATCAAGGAATATACTGTACCAGGCAAAAGGCAAAGGCAAAAACCAAATAAGTGCTCATTCACACTTTAACTTGACCCATATT